CTTTCTTGATTAGTAGCATGTGGGAGTAATCTCAACTCTTTCTTTACTTGCTTTAGAGTAAACAACATTAATGCATGTAGCAGGTGACAGTAAAATAATTCAGGGGACATTGTGGTGCTGCACTGATTCAGTAGGAAACGTTCAATATGTTAACATTAAACACTTTAGGTTTGCTAAGCAGTGATAAAATGCTGGTTATTCTCCTCACACAGTCCCAGGGCAATGTAGTCCCTTTCACCAAAATGTTTCTTCTCCCTGTGGAAGAGGGCTAGGAGAAGAGACTGACCTGGCAGTTCCTCAGGAGGGACCCTGGTGCTGATGATTTCATTGCTGGTACCCAGAGCATCCCTGCATCCTGCACAGGACCACACCTGCACCCCACACCTGCACCCCACACCTGCAGTCCCACAAGGGCATCCTCTCCTTGCTCTGCTTTCCTGCACACCCCAGAGGAGCTGCAGACCATTCCTCAACAACCCCCAAACTATTTTTAATAATATAATTAATTTTTTCGGTGTGGCACCAACACACACGCAACTCTCAATTATATTTTAGCTGTCCCAGAAGGAAGCAGCTCTTTATTTGGGAAAGTGACTGGCGCTGGTGCAGGATTATGGGTTTGCTCTTTGCATTCCAGGTATTCAAAGCCCGCTGAAAATAAAAACTGCTCAGCACACACTCCACAGCCGAGCTGAGCCTCGTGCATGGGGAAGCATTTCGGGAGAAGTTAAGTGTTTGAAGTAAAACTGTGCAGTCGCCTGGTAGAACAGAGATGTGGAATTGTTATTTATCAAGATGAAGCTGGCATTTGGATAAAATTCTCCGGCGCCGTTAATAACTTCTGTTGACGAGGGAGCTGCGCGAGCGGCGCGGAGGCAGCTGTCCCCAGAGCTCGCAGGAGTGGGATTTTTCATGGGCTGTGAGCAAGGCAAGCGTGTGCCTGCTGTAATAACTTTCTGGGCGCCTCCGTCACAACGGCCACCACGAATTTATCTTTTTCTGCTCGCTCCCAGAGCTTTGTCAGTTTTGAGTAATTTGCTGTGAGTAGCAGCTGCTGGAGCGCCACATGGCCACGTGCGCCTCCGACGTGAACTCCGGCTCCCCGAGCAGTTTTATCATCATGATTAAGTTTCTTAACTTGAATCAAGGATGTCTCTGGAGTTCACTACCACGATGTGAACTTAAGATAAACAATGAATGATGAATAGGCCAATTACTGAAGCCTCCCTCGCTGGAACCCTCGGCTGAGGCTGGCTGATAAGAGGAGGCACACGTCCTCTCGTCTGGCAAATGTTACCCAAAACTGGACGGTTTGAAGTGCAGACAGTCCTGGCTAATCAGGCGCTGGCTAATGAGCACCTTTCTTTTATGTGTGAGTTTTCCCTTTCTCTGTTTGCTGTCCATAATGCTGGAAGTGGAGAGGGAGCCCTCAGCCTGAGCCACGTGCTGCCAGTGCTGCACCATGGTGCAAATCCCTGCCCTCGGCCCCAGATGCATCCCAGCACAAGGCACAACAGCAGCAGGCAGTCCAGGGCTGTCTGGTGGTGCTGCACATCTCCTGGGCTAAGGAAGCCTTTGCTGAGAGACCCACCCAAAGAGAGGAGCAGCCATTCCCAAAGCAAAGGAATACAGCTGAGGATGGAGGGAAGAGCACCTTGGAGCGGGGCTGCAGCACTCCAGCCATGCTGTCAGCATTCAGCATTTTGGGGCTGAAGCAGCAAACAGAGCAAAGCAAGAGGCATTTTCCCCACTGAGAGATCTCCAATGGCAGACAAGGCCAAGGGCTGCAGTGGAGGGGGCTCAGAGGGTCCCTGGGTGCTGTGGCTCCATCCAGGAGCAGCTGTCACCGCTGCCAGCACTGAGAGCTGCCTGGCACCACGTGCCACAGCAAGTGATATGATTTACTTACTACCTATGGAATTGCCCAATTAATTCACTATCCACATTAATATTATGGCTCATTTTTAACTTTACTGTCTCCATCGTTCCAATTTAGTGCTGCTCAGAGATGCTGCCACTGACCTTAATGGGTTTTTCATTATAACAAAGAGCACGATATTAATCACGAGGGGCTTTCAGCTGGAGGCTGCTGCCCAAGCCCCACTGCTTTGAGGAGCTGCTTTTCAGTGGTTTGGGGACCTATTTTATTTCTGCCAGGCTGCTCACCCCCGCTCACAGCGTGCACAATCCTTTGTGCTGTCCAGGAGGAATTTCTTGGTGTAACATTTCCAGGCGCAGAGGTTTTATGCGGCAGTCAAGCCACGCTGCAGATATGATAGATTTTTCTGGGCAAATTGGAACATGGAGTGGAAAACTGAAAGGATGCGCCAGTCATAGCCAATGAGCCTCTTATTGTCCTGAATAAAAATCAAATGCCTTTTAATCATTTCAAATGTTCTTCTGGGTATCAATTAGTCACACATTAATATCAGTATTGCTTCTCTTCCCCAGTTCACATCAGATTAAATTCTCCCCTGTCATATACACTCGCTCTCATTAGCTTCATGGAAAATTAGTAATTGTTCCCTCTCCATTGGCATTGATGGGAGATCTTCATCAGAACTGTTCTTTATACAGAGGACCTGCTTGTCATCCTAAGGACACTAAGAGGTTTTCCCCCAAAATGATTGTCTTTTCATAAAAAATACATTTTTTTTTTCACTCTGAAACCCTGAAGTCTGAGCCAGAGCATTAGGGAATGGGGAAAAAACCCCAACATTTTCATGAGTGCCATCCTGCAGTTTGTGCCCCTCTGTGCATCCCAACCACGTGTCTCCTTGTCAGGATGGGGGGACACCAGGGGTTGCACAGGGGTTTGCTGCTCTCAATGCCCCAGAGCCAGGCTGGCTATTCAGAACACTCCCTGAGCAGAGCAGCAGTGTGGAGGGCTCTGCTCCTGCTCCCTGCCCTCCCTGGGGCCAGCCATGCCCAGCACTGCCAGTGCTGCAAGGGGCCTGTGGTATTTATTGAGCTTTATTAACTCCCAGCCCTGGGAGCTCCTCACCTCTTGCAGCTAATTCAGACACCCGACTCCTGATGGAGTTGCAGTGATTGCCATTAAAAAGCTTGACATTTACCTTACAACAGTAATAAAATAATAATGCCTAATTTGGTTTATGAGTGGTATTTGCAGTGTTTCCTGTGCCTTGAGTGGGGGATATGGTGAAGATCTGCTGATCAATTATGTCTGCTAAGCAGCACTGCTGTAATTCTTTCCTGTAATCAGAACCATCTTTCAGCAGAGCTGCTCCAAAGTTTTCCTCTGAAACTCTAATTTTGACAAGAAAAGAAAATGTTTTCAAATACTTGAGTTTCCAGTGAATAACAAAAGCTTCCGAGATGGAACTTTCTGGTGGGAAATGGAGACAGACAAGCCCGGTGCCTGCACAGATTTGCTGCATTTAGATTTCCAGAACCCTTCAGATGTTTTCAAAGGCTGCCTGCGATTGCTTTCCATTAAAAAGGGGTTGTTTTTTTTCCTCCTCCAAATAACCTTGTCAGTATGATTCCCTTCTCCTGTAGCCATCTCAAACATCACCCCCCCCCAGTGTGTTTTACAGCCCTGCACTGCTGTGGGGCCAGGGAGCCCAGACCCCTTTGCAGGGAGCAGATCCACAGCAGGGCAGCCCCCAGCCCCCGCATGTGCACAGTGCTCTCCCCAGCCTATTCAGCATCTCCACTCCTGTCCGTCCAGGATTTACCCCTGCGTGCAGGCAGCAACATCCCAGTGCTCACAAAGCCAGTGCCAGACCTGCTAAAAGCAATTTCTTTCTCCATTTCTCATCCTGAGCAAAATTCGATGTGGATTTTCTTTTTTCAGTGCAATTTTAATTAGCGCATGATGCACTTTGGGTTTTTATTAGAGTAAACAGCTTGGAAAAAAAGTCCATGCCAGCTCTTCTACACCAGGGAGCCTCATCCTGTTCAGACCAGAAACCTCACGCTGGATTTCTGAAAGCCTTTCTTAAGATGGGTTCATTTCCATGAAGAAACGCTACCATTTCAACAAATGGAAATTTTTGAACATAGAAAAAAAAAGAAAAAAAAATTAGTCAGGAAATTCCTGGCTAGGCCAACTTTGGGGTGGGGCTGTGCACGAGAGGGAGAGCTGAGGGCTCACCCCACACATGGGCTGCACACATGGCAGACATGGGCACAGTGCATGGCCATGCACACCCTGCACAGGTGGGCACAGTGCATGGCCATGCACACCCTGCACAGGTGGGCACAGTGCATGGCCTGGCACACCCTGCTCAGGTGGGCACAGTGCATGGCCAGGTACACCCTGCTCAGGTGGGCACAGTGCATGGCCATGGGCACAGTGCATGGCCATGCACACCCTGCACAGGTGGGCACAGTGCATGGCCATGGGCACAGTGCATGGCCTGGCACACCCTGCACAGGTGGGCACAGTGCATGGCCTGGCACGCCTTGCACAGGTGGGCACAGTGCATGGCCATGGGCACAGTGCATGGCCTGGCACACCCTGCTCACCTGGCTGCACACATTACACAGACACCTGGGTGCACACACTGTCCCCTGCCATGTCTGTGTCTCCTGCTAGATCCATGTCCCCTGCCATGCCATGTCCCCTGCCATGCCCGTGTCCCCTGCTATACCTGTGTCCCCCTGCCATCCTGTGTCCCCTCCCATCCCATGTCCCCCTGCCATGCAGGGACCCCTCTGGCATCTCCCGCGCTGTTCCCCCACACTCAAGGACAGTGCAGCAGCGTCCCTGTCCCCAGGCTCATGTGGCACTGTCAGTCTGGGCACCTCCAGCCACTGGCACAAGGGCCAGGCTGGGGCAGCAGCACAGATCACAGCAGAAGCGTGTCCCCGGCCGTGTGACAGCCATCCCACCGTGTGACAGCCACACACGGCGGGGCCAGCGGCGCGGGGGACAGCTGGTATTTCTGGTGTGTGTCCCTGCCGGGGGTGCCCGTGGCCCTGCCCTCCCCCGAGCGCAGCCCCGCTCGGTGACTCCCCCTCGGGCGGGCCGGCCGCTCGCACACGGAGCGCACGCCATGGGAGGGACGGCGGGGCGCAGCCCGGAGCGCTGCCGCTTTCTGGACGTGAGTGCGCGGCCGGCCCGTCCCCGCTCCCCGCACGGCCCGAGGGGTGCTGTCCCTCCTGCCGGGACCCTCGGCACAGCCCGGCCACCGCCGCTTTCCCCTCCGCAGGCAGAAGCGGCCAAGGCGCGGGAGAAGGGCTGCCCCAGGTACCAGCTCTGCGGACTCCTCTTCAGCCTGCTGCTCCTCTCCCTCATCCTGATATTTTTTGGTGTCAGGTACCTCTGGAACCCAGCGCCCAGAAAAGTAAGTAAAAACTCTTCGATCCGGCGTCTCAGAGCGTCGCTGCCCCAGACAGAGCTGTCCCCCTCCCCTCGGCTCGCTGAAACTTTTAACAACTCTCCAAAACCCAGGCAACTTCGCAAAATGCATTTTCTCAGACCGCAGGTATTCGTGGGACTTTTAAAAATCTTTGTATTATTCATAACTAGCTTTTACTTTGTGCAGGCTGGTTTTCTCCCCCGTCACCGCGCTCTTTCCCCAGTTGACAATTACAGGGGATGGGAGCTACGCCATGAAGAGTTAAAGTTTCTCTTATTTCACCGGCAGCAAATTTTATGACAAGTAAGAAAATATTTTCCATTTCATTTCAATTATCTTGCCAGAAACCGGTGGAAAAGTCATTATGCCACCGCATAAAGAGGAGAGAAAGCCAGGACGCAGCGGTGATTGATTGTCATGGATTATATTTCTTACTTTAATGTGTCTGCAATGTGAGGGACGGTGAGACGGATTAGCTTCTGCAGGAGCCTGTGCTAACAGGATTGGGCTCCCTTATCCCCAGCTGCAGCCCAGCGCTGTGTGAGCGCTCTGTCTGTGCCTCCCCAGCCGTCTCTGCCCGCTGCTACCCGGCATCCTGGCACTGCTGCCAGAACCCTTTTATCCCACACCCCAAGGGCACCCTTTAACCTTGAAACCCACAGCCTGCCCGCTGCCCCTCATCCTCCCTTCCTTCCAATCTCCCTGCTCATCCAGCAGGCCCCGCTTTGCACCCCATCACCAGCGGGGTTTGCTGGCTCCCAAGAACATCTCCAAATTCCTGTGCACAGCCCAGGCAGCCTCTTTCCCACGCTGGCATCTCCGCTCTGCTCCCTGCACTGTCCTGGAGCAGCTCCAGCCGGGCCAGGCCGCCCTCCTGCCGGGCAAAGGAAGCACCCTGCTCGCTGGAAACTTTATCTTCTTATCAGCAAATAGAAATAAATACCCCCTGAAAGAAAAGGAAAAACAATAAAAGCCATATGTTCCTCCAGAATCCTGCCAAGACGATTATAAAGTCCCTACTGTTCCTAGAAAAACAGGGGTCATGCCAGCCGTGAGGGGAAGAGGCTGTTAACCCCTGCAGGGGCGGTTTTCTCCAAGCAGAGACAATGCACAGCCTCAGCAGGGACATGCAGAGCCCTGGGTGTCCTCACCGGCGGAGGATGGAGTCCGTGCAGCACCCGATGGGCAGGGAAGCAGGTGTGAGGTGTGTGAGGTCAGGAGAGAGCAGAGCTGTTCCTGCAGCAGGGATGCACACAGGCACTCCCAAGCCCAGCACTGCCCCGTCCCTGTGCCTCCTCCAGCTGGCCCAGGAGTCCTCAGGACAAACAGGCTGGAGGGGGCTGGACGTTGGTAACGCTCAAAGATATCAGCCAAGGGGAATTAAACCCTTTAAAGGACATGAAACCCTTCAAGCTCCTTCACGTAACTGGAGAGTGGAAGAAAGCTTGAAAGAAGAGTTGTCCCTCTGAGGGGTGGCCTTGGACACTCTGCCCTCAGCACAGCAGCCTCGTCCCAGCCAGCAGAGCTGATGATTCAGCTAACGAGGGGCTCATCGCAGCCTCACAGGGGGACATATTTCAACCACTCACCAGCAAGTGTCATCTTTAGCCCTATAAAACATCTCATAGCTCTCTGAGCAGCGCAGGGCTGGCAAAGCCCGAGTGGTTTAGCTGGCTGCTGTGCTGGCCAAAGTCATTCTCGTAAATGGAGAGGCACTTGAAGGTAAGGTGCCACCCGGGATCCTGCCCTCCTTGAAGTGATTTATGGCACTGTGTGCATTTTGTCAGTCAAAACCAGCGACCTTACACCCATTGTAGGCTTCAGACTGTTTCACCATACCATGAAATCCATGGAGAGCTGTATGTCTTTACAAAGTCTTCCTGCAGACCATCAGGAGATGTCCATGGCTGCCAAGGCACACATCCCTCCTCTAACCTCTGAGCAGGCCTGAGTGTTCCCATCAGTTCCCATCTGCACGGGCAGTTCTGCACCCAGGTGGGGGCCAAACAGGGGGTACCAATGCTGGGAGCACTGCTGAGAGGCTCTGAACCCCAAGGGGAGGGATGTGCAGCAACCCGGGACTGTGAACGGGGGCTGGCACTGAGGGCAGAGCTCCTGCCCCTCACCGGTGGGGCCAGCATGCTCCTGTCCTGCTTCATGGCAATGGGATGAACAGGGCTCTCCCATCGCTGTGTCTCCATCTCTGCTCCATCTCTGCTCCATCTCCTGCCCTGTTTCATGGCCATGGGATGAACAGGGCTCTCCCCTCGCTGTGCCTCCATCTCTGTTCCATCTCCTGCCTTGGTTCATGGCCATGCCCTGGGATGAGCAGGGCTCTCCCATCGCCGTGTCTCCATCTCTGCTCCCTGCCCCACGGGCTTGAGGGGATTTGCAGAATCCCTTTGACTTCCCCGCGGCACTGTTCCATCTGGGAAACAAGGCTCCCCAGGGCCAGCAGGATCGTTTTTTCTCAGGATCGTTTTTGTGCTTCAAAGAGCATCTGCCGCTCCTCATCCTGGCAGGGTCAGGCCTCTGCAGGGACCGAGGGCTGCCGAGTGCGAGGGGGAGAGGAGAGGGAGAGGAGAGCGCTGCTGCCGCTGCCGCTGCCGCTGCCGCCTCTGGTGCCGCTCCCCGGGGATGCGCCCGCCGGGCCGCCGGCTGCCAACAGCCCTCCAGGAGGCCTTTGATCCGCAGGCAGTCCTTGATCTCCTCCAGGCAGAGAGAGGCTCTTCCCTCTGCCTTTCGGGAGAAGCAGGAGGCACAGAGATGGAGCGGGTGAGCTGGGGAGGACGCGGTGCAGCAGGTGAGCCGGGGACACCGTGATGGAGCAGCAGCCAGGGATGCAGGGGGCAACAAGCAGACCAGGCAGAAGGAGAACAAAGTACCTGTGGGTTTGGGAATTCAGTCCAGCCTGGGCTGTAACCCGGCTCATGCCACAGAAAGCACCGGCCAAGGCTGAGCTGGGGCAGAGCTCCTGCTGCAGGTGTGTGAGCAGCATCTCCTCCCAGGCATGACACACATTAATTACACCCCTTGTCCTGGCTGCAGCCTGCCTTTCACCCAGCCCGGGCCCTGCCTGGGAGCTGCCTCCCCAGCTGCTGTCCTGGTGATTGCTCTGGCTCACAGCTGGGCTCGAGGGAGCAGCCAGAGCCATGGTCACACACCCAGCACAGCCTGCCCACCCGCTGGACAGCCTGTGAAACCAGACCCCTGTGTGGCTTTGGCCTCCAGGTCTATGACATGGAGCACACGTTCTTCAGCAACGGTGAGAAGAAGAAGATTGTGATGGAGATTGACCCCCTGGCCAGGACAGAGACCTTCAGCAGCGGGAATGGCAGTGAGGAGATCCTGGAGATCCATGACTTCAAAAACGTGAGTGTGGCAGCTTGTCCCTGAGGCCCTGCAGTCCTGCAGAGGGACTGATGGCTCCTGCAGGACACTCTGAAGTCCCCAGAGCAAGTCCCAGGGCTATTTATTCCTGTATCAGGGACAGCAGGACCCAGACACGCTGGGGATGCTCTCAAAGGAAAGGAGATGTGCTATCTACATGAGCTTCCACCTGTATTTAATAGTGGCGTGCTTCAGTTCCAGTGAAATACATCTTGGAAGCAGAGTCAGTTATTGGATTTACCCTTGCAAAGGAAGGCAATGATCATCAGTCTATCTGAGTCCAGTGCATTTGTCTGTCTGGAGAGCATTAAAACCTCATGGCACTGAAGAAGGCTCTCTGTGAAACCTAATTAAAATTTGTAGGAAAATACCCTGTGCAGTGACATATGGCAGAATTTTGAGCTAATAACCTAGCAGGAACTGGGGGCTGAATGTTCATATAACCATAACGGTCAGATGCTATTCTGCATATTTTTATTTATTATAATGAGAGCTCATGATAGTTATCAGGAGAAGAGGAGCAGAGTAAAATTTTATGACTACCTGCCTTAAAATATTTGTAAAAAGCCCAGTTCTCCCAAACCATAAAATGCAATATCCCTTATGAGAACCTGTTAGTACATCTTAGCAGCACTGCTGAACGGAACTGGCACAAAAATAGCAACAGGAAAAATATGACTAAACCTTCCTCCTCCAGCTGTACCCTGCCTCCAGTGGGTTATCCATCCTCCTCTCTGCCCTGACTGCTTTTTGGGTGTTTGCTTCGATCCTGTAGGGAATTACCGGCATCTTCTTTGTGGGACTTCAGAAATGTTTCATCAAAACTCAGCCCAAAGTCCTGCCTGAGACAACAGAGGCCAAGATCCCTGAGCTTGAGGTAGGTGAATGGAGCAGGGCTCCCTCTGCCCTGTGAAACCCACTGCCCTCCCTGGCATTGGGCTGCCACCCCTGCCGCCTTCCCAGAGATGTGCAATAAAGAAATAATGAGTTGTGATCGCTTCATAAACTGATCTTATTTCAGAGGATTGCTTATGAAAACAAGTGAAAAGAGACGGGATTAGAAAGCAACAGACAAAAGCCTCTCAGCACAATACCAGAGATCAAGAACAATAATCCTGTTGTAGTCAAAAGGTCGTAAGGCAGCTCAGGATTAGCAGGCACCAAAAAGTCAATCAAATTGTTTTCCCCAAGATTTGAGCCTCATGCTTGCAAAGAGAATGAGGCAGAAATGAGGGATTTAAAAGAGCAGGCACGTTTAAGAAATGCAAATTGAGAAAACCCTTGGCATGCAGACCTGAGAGGTGGGAAGCACCGGGCTGGGGCCATTTCCTTGTCCTGCATGGGCCTCTGTGCCACTGATGTGCCTGATTGCTTCCTGACATGTTTAACTGCCCTGCATCCCGCTGCAAGGAGCCTTGCATGCTGCATGGAAGAGTGTGGGCCCCATGACTGAACCCCTCCCTGACAGTGGGGCCTGCAGGGACACCAGTGTCCTTTGTCCCCATCCCTGCAGGTGGCACAGGGCACAGCCTTCCCATTCCTGCCCCCCCATTCGCAGACTGAATCCCCCCCAGGGAAGCTGCTGCAGATAAAACGCCAGCAGGACACGTGTTTGAAATGAAGCGTGGGCAGAAACATTTCCCTGAATCATGACCCAAATTCCCAGACACCGATTCTTTGATTATGCCCTAAGAAGCTCATAGATCTTCCCAGCCACCGTCGTAAAAGGGATATAACTTGCCAGGCTGTAGCAGAACATTGCCCCGGGTAGGGAGCTGAGATGTAAAAGCCGGTGAGATAAATGTAGATTTAAGCTCCAGTCTTGTCTTCCTGGAGCCTGCACGCTGCCAGGTCCTGCAGGCAGCACCTCCCCGACCCTGCAGCTCCCACCAGGCTCCACAAATGACCCAGACTGGGTTGGCTCCTTTGTGTTGGCTCCTTCCTGTGACTTCCCAAAGCCGTAAGGAAAAACTCTATAAAAGAGATATACAGCTCTGGATGCCTTCTGGAGAGAAAAACGCTTTTTGCCAGGTTGCTCCATGGGCTACCACCATCAACACAGAGAACGTTGCCTTGGCAGAGAGCTCATGCAGACCCATCCCATAATCTTTATATATCTCCCTCCCTAAGTGCCTGCCAAAACACACCATGGACTAATGCAACGGCAGAGACGTGTGGTATAAATTACTGAACACAGCCGTGCAAGGAATTTCTGTGAGGAGTAAATTAAAGTGTTCGATCAAAAAATCAGCAGCAGAAGGAGAGAGGAATTAAATCCTAGGAGCAAAGTAGAGCAGAGGTGGTTTAATCTTGTGTTTTAAATGATTAGGGGGGCTCCAAAAGGCTCCTCCAGATAGTGGGGACTGGGCTGGAAAAGGGTCTTGGGTGATGAACTAAGAGAGGAGGGCAGGGTGGTGAGGGCTGTCAGGGTATTGCATGTGCATCCCATGAGCGCCACGAGCCAAGGCAGGTGAGGTCCAGCTGCTCTCTGGGAGGGCAGAGGTGCCTCTAAGCCAAGGGCAGGTGTCTCACCACACCAGGGTAATGTCCTGCTCTTCTTCCAGGGACAGGAAATCACCACCACCTACTTTGAGCAGTCCGTGGTCTGGGTGCCTGGGGAAAAGCCCATTCAGAACAAGGAGTTCCTGAGGAGCTCCAAAATTTTTGACATCTGCAAAAACGTGACCATCTTCTGGATCCACCCCACTCCAATAGCAGGTACAAGGAGCCATCTCCTCCCCAAGGGCCCTGCCTGTGGCCCTCTGCCATGTCCCCTCTGTGCCATGCTGGGATCCCACTTTCACAGCCTCGTGTACATCTCAGGCATGAGCTCCACAGGAGATCCTGGCCAGTGTAATAGCAGGGGCTGAAGATCCTCTGCACAAAGCACTTGTTTCTGCCAGCTCCCCGCCGCCCTGCACTTTGCAGAGTGGCCACCCTCCTCATAACAAGGGAGAGAAAAAAAATAATCCCTTGTACCTGCAGAGAAAGCGGCGCTGCTGGAAACTGGGACGCCCAAATCCTCGTCCCCACACGAACATCAGAGCGCGAGCAGACATCTGCATCTAAATCACACGGCGGGGTTGCCACCTCCAGCTGCTCACCTCACAGCCCTCGCAGAGGTTGTGGCCTCTGAGATGTGCTGCTGTAATTACCTGCTCTCTCTAACCCACTTCCAGCCCAATGAGGCAGTTTAAAAGTCCCTGCTGAGCAAACTCCCTCTGCTCTGCAGCCACGGAGGCACAAGGCATGGATCACAGGTACAGGCCAGCTCAGCTGTGCTCTGCAGGGCAGCTGGGCACCACAGCTGCCTGGTGCAGAGAGGCTGGTGTCCCCGACTGCTGTCCCCTTTCTGCTTCCTTGTCCCTGCTGTTGGGCCCCCCTGCAGCAGTGTCCTGGCTCAGTGAGTGCGCCAAGGTGCATCCAAAGCCTTTGCCAGGACAGCAGTGCCAAGGCTGCCTGGCACCTTCCCTAGCAAAGGAAATTCTTGCTGCTGCGGTTCTTTCCTAAGCTAAGAGAGCTGAAGCTGGGCATGAGCTGCCCCAGATCATGTTGCTGTGATGGGACCCTACAAACCCACCCCTCAGCAGCAGAGCCCAGCAGGAGGATGTGCTTCTGCACACCCACAGCCCCACGCAGGAGATGGGCACTCTCACCCATGGGCATGCGGATGGATGGGCCATTGTCTCCCTCAGCGCTGCCCAGGCTGGGTGACAGCAGGAGGCAATGGAGCTCTGCTTTGCAGTGGGCTTTTCGTGTACCCTGGCACCAAATTCTGGTAGAGACATTAATTCCTGCTGCTGCATTTGTCCCCTGTTCCGTGGTTATTGACAGCGACATTTGGACTCTCCCTGTAGCTCCTGAGCTGGCCAACCTCGAAGGGGCAGAAGAAGAAGAGCCTGAGCTGCAGATGGACAGGCAGAGCTGGCTGGACGGGGGGAACGAACACGAGCTGGAGGAGAACACGAGGGCAGGGCCCAAGCGTCGGGCACGGCAGCTCACCGAGGAGGATCTGCCCGTCAATGACTACGTGAGTGAGAGAATCCCACCCTGGGCTGCCCTGCCTGAGTGAGAGAATCCCACCCTGGGCTGCCCACCCTGGGCTACCCTACCTGAGTGAGTGAGAGAATCCCACCCTGGGCTGCCCTATGTGAGTGAGTGAGTGAGTGAGTGAGTGAGTGACCCCCACCCTGGGCTGCCCTGCCTGAGTGAGGGACCCACCCTGGGCTGCCCACCCTGGGCTGCCCTGCCCACCGTGTGCCCCAGCTTGTGCTCCTTGGGATGATGACGCCCTGTGCATGCCCTGGGGTGTCTCCATGGCCCCGGGGAGCCCTGCTCCTCCCCTGGGGTTGTCCTGTCCCCTCTCCCGGGTGCCTCAGCCCCGCAGCCCCCTCTGACCGCGTCTCTTGCCGGCAGTCGGAGAACGGGCTGGAGTTCCACCCTCTGTGGGATGAGCTGGGCTACTGCTGTGCCCAGTGCCGCCGTGCCCACCGCTACTGCCGGCGGGTGTGCGAGCCGCTGCTGGGCTACCACCCGTACCCGTACTGCTACCAGGGCGGCAGGGTCATCTGCCGGGTCATCATGCCCTGCAACTGGTGGATCGCGCGCATGCTGGGCAGGGTGTAGCAGGGCACGGTGTAACCGGGCACGGTGTAACCGGGCAGGGCGTAGCGGGGCCGTGCCCAATGCTGGGCAGGGTGTAGCCGGGCCGTGCCCGCTGCCCGCCTCCAGGAGCCGCTGGCACACCGACAGCGCCGCGGGGCACTGCCCGGCCGGCGCCCGGTGATCCCGCACCCTGCCCGGCCGGCGCCCGGTGATCGCGCACCCTGCCCGGTGATTCTCCAGCCCTGCCAGCCGGTGCCCGTGATCCCGCACCCTGCGTTGCCCCCGCGGGACCGCGGGAGCCAGGCTGGGCGGCAAGAGGCCAATAATAAATGTCCTGTATGAGCGATTGCAAAGAGAACTGAAGGCCTTTAGTGTCAGTCTGGTGCTCGGTGGGTCTGCGAAGGGATCTGATTGCGGGGCCGCGTCCGGGAGCACCCAGAGCTCAGTGTGTGTACTGCAGCCTGAGGAGGGCCCTGGTGCTGCTGGGGGCCGCTCAGCATGGCCTGACCTGTTCCAGCCTGCTCTGCCGAGCTCAGTTCAGCTGCCGACAGCTCAGGGGTGCCACCAGCACAGGCACAGGGAGCTGGCACAAGGAGCTTACATGCACATTTCTTGCCCTGGGGAGCAGCTGGGGCCTGGCACTGCCCTGCCCTTTGCTCCAAGCCAGCAGGCCAAGCATGGCTCACACTGGGCTGAAGTTACTCACCCTGCTCCTGGGCTGGGGAGCTCCAGGCCCTCTGCTCCAGCACTGTTACACAACGGCTGTTATGAAGAAAATTCAATTACAGAAGTTATTTGCAGGCAGAAGTGCACCAGTGCACATTGGAGGAATGCAAACTGCAGTGGCCAGAGGTACCTGGCTGGCCCACAGTGAGCAGATCAGCCTGGGGGGATTTGCTGTTCTTCAAGCAGAGGAATTTCCAGGACATGAAAAGAAAAGTCAAGGAGGTTTCATAGAGTAAAATATCTTAATATTTATTGTGTCTGGGGACAAAAAAGAATTCTACTCAATACATAAAATGAGTTGAAGCAGCATATAATACTGACAATCAAGTCACAGCTGAATCGGTGCAAGGACACCTACCAAGGTAAAGGCACCAGGAGCTACATCACCAAACCTCACTACAGCTTACAAGAACCACTACAGCCCGTCCTTAAAGAAGTACAACTATAAAAAAGTATATAAAACCCAGACAGGGAGGAGGCAGCTTGGCAACAACCTTGCTGAGCCAAGGCTTCAGGCAGGCAGGACTGAGTTTAACAGCCCTGTCTCAAGAACAACTGTGTCTGGAGAGTGAGGGGGTGTCCAGGGGCTGCCCAAGGCAAGGGGGAGCACCCCTTTCCCAGTGGAGGCACTGAAGATGAGCACTGGGACACCCGGGAGCTGTGCTGAAGCAGCACAGACAGCTCAGCACAGGGTGGCACTCGGGCTGCAGCCACCGCAGCCACACCAGTTATCACCCAGGCAGTGGCACAGCAGAGTAGTGTCAGGACAAGTCCCCGAGTGCAGCAGGACAGCTGCTGCACTCCCTTCTGTGAGCTAGTTGAGAAGAAGATCAGTCAGTTCAAAGCAAGATTTCACGACGTGGCATCCAGGGGAACACCTGAGGTGGAGGCATCCTCCCCAGCCATTCCCTGCAATCACACAGAGAGTGTTAGCAGGCAGGATGGATTTACATGGATTTATACACAGGCTCAAATGGCACGGGGTCAAAGGCACGGCAGACCTGGTTTTGCAGGTGCCCTCTAACCCCAAACCCCCCACACGTGGTACCCCCACCCCATGGGTGACCAGCAGCAGCCCCCAGGCTCACAGACATACCCAGCCACAGGCACAGAGCCCTGGGGGCCAGCTACACCATCTCATACTGGTTGTTGGTGATGTACCGGGACAGGCAGCAGGACAGGATGATGCCAATCAACTGAAAAAGAGAAAAAAACAAACCCTGCATGTCAGAGGCAGCCAAAAGCAGGGAGAGGTGTTTTCAGGAGAAAACCTGACAGACTGATCCAGGGCTTTATGAAATCCAAGGATGGACAGTGGGGTTTGCAAACCACCACAAGGCTGCTGCACCCTGCCTCAGAATCACCGACAGTGCCGAAGCACAGGATCCCTGCACACCAACTAAACAAGCTCCTCACTAGAGATGCCCCAGGTCCCATCCCATTATAAGCTGCTTCACGAAGCATTGACTGTTTTATGGTGATTGCAGAGATTACACAGGTACCAGCAGCGTCACGGCCAATTGCACAGCCACTGGAGAATGGCAGCACCTCTCCCTGCTGCAAGGACGCTGGGGAAGCAAGGCTGCTGCTCTCCCATCAGGAGGGTACTGCTATCATACGTGCCCTGTTATCACAACGCAGCCTCCCAGCACCTGTGCAGGCTCCAGGGCCAGACCCTGCATGACTGGGACCTCCACAAGCCAGGTTAGAGGCACATCAGCTCCCTGTCTGAGGCGTGACCCAGCCAAGCTTGTGGAAGGGGCAATAAAAGCCAGGAACTGGTGACAATGCCCAAGCCTGCCATCAGCTGAGACAATGCTGCAGCTGGGAGTGTGTGTGCAGGTCAGCACTGGTGAATCAGGCACATCTCAGTGAGCCCAGAGCCAGCTGGAGAGGAGCGGGGAGCAGCGGGCACAGCGGAGCAGCTCGGGCTCTCCCAAAGCCCTCAGTACCACGAGCTGCAGGCTCCCACCTCTCCCCAGTCCAGCCCATCTGCACAGAAAACACACAGTGACAGGCTCATACAGCTGAGCACCTCACAGGTTCCTGTCCCCAGCCCCAGGCAGCAGCACCCTGATGCTCACACCACAGCCGCTGGGTGCCGGGCCAAGGGGAGGCAGAGTGTGAGCCCCTCCAAACGAGGGCTGCCTGCTCAGCCCAGAGCCCAGCAGGCTGGCCCAGTGCAGCTGGAGCAGGGCCAGCTGCACATCCTGCAGCCAGGAAAGCCCTCAGCACCTCGGGACTGGGGGCAGGGGCCTCCTGCTTCCTGCCGGGACAGAGCTCTGGGGCTGGCGCTGGGGCTGGGGCTGGGGCTGGCCAGCACGCTGCTGCTGCTGCTGCTGCTGCTGCTGCTGCTGCTGCTGCTGCTGCTGCAGGCAGTGCCCTGCACGGGAAGGTGAAGGAGACACTGCAGGACAGGGCACAGGGCAGGGTAGGGAGGTCACCAGCACAAGCAGTGCCACACTGGCACTCATGGTGACCCCACCACACAAGAGTGATGCCAAACACCCCCAATAACAGTGAGGGTGGGTTGGAAAAGGAAGGGCACAGATCTGATCCCTGCCAACAGCAGGCACAGAGTTCAGCCATCTCCGTTTGTGTTTTCTTGGAGTCTGTTGTTTCAGAGAGGAGACAATAATAATAATGAACCTGCCCTCAAGGAAACAGAGCTGGAGTTTCAGCCCTGGGTGTAGAGACCGGGGCCTGCACAGCAGTCAGGCTGAATGCAAGGGGAATCCACAGAGTGGCTGCTCCTCCCTGGCTGAAACCAGCCCTTTGTACACACCAGACTTTGCACTGAAATGAAATCCCTCTGGAGACGTGCTGGCTTCACCCTGCCCTCCTCCCGAGCCAGACGAGGAGATTTACCTGGAAACAAGCGATGCCAAAGGAGATTCCGGCCACAACGCTCATCTTGGACTCCATTGTTGACGTTACCAGGAAAAAACAGCCCTGCAGAGGAAGCCAAGCAAGCACGTGGATGCAGTGCCTTCCAGCCCAGGGGCACAGAGCAGCTCCTCCCCACAGCTGCAGGGGCAGATGCTCCTGTGCAGGCAGCAGGGGGGTCTGGGCTCACCCCTCCTGCCAGGCCCCAGCACTGCCATTCCCCTGCCCCAGCCCAGATGCCTTATCAAGGGCAGCACTGCCCTCGGGCTGCTCCCAGCCCCAGCCAGGTGACTCATCACAGGAGCCCTTGCATCACCCAACCATCCCCGAGGATGAGGTCACACACCCTCAGCGCCGGGTCAGGACTTTGCACCCAAGGGAGAGAGATGGCAGCACTGCTGAAACAAACTTCACTGGGCAGCTGCTTCCCTGCTCACCTGTTCTTCAAATCACACATCCCCAGAGGCCAGAGCTTGGGTCTGCCTGGGCCCTGACCTTGAAGGAAGGAGTGAGGAAACCTCAGACAGAAGGGAGGATTCCATACCCTGACCCACTCCAGGGGAGTCCCTGGGGCACTGAACATCAGCATCAATAGGGCAGTTGTCCTTTCCAGTCTGCCAGGGACAGACTGGCCCCCTGCACACACCCATCCCTGCCCTTCCCACCTCTAGGAGCAGCAGGCAGGTTTTTCTGAGCTTAACTTACATTCACAAACACTTTGAGCTGGGCCTTGTTTGGGTCTTTGAGATCTTGCTCGGAGCAGTCGTCCTGGTTCTTGCAGCAGCTGCGGGGGATGCCCCTCTGGCTGAAGTACTCCGTCTTCTCCCAGTCAGAATAGTTCTGCACTCCACAGCAGTGCAGCTGGAGTGGGAAGCACATGTGGGGAGCCTGGTCACACCAGGGAACCGAGCCCTGCTCCCCCACCACTGCCACGGCTCCCCCATCCCACCAACATCTGCCAAATTCCAAAGCCTGTGAGGGGATGCTGGTGCCACAGAGGCCAGAGGGGATGCCCTGAGCCAGAGCAGCATTCCCACCTGCTGGCAGCCAGGGGCTCTCTCCCATCCCCACCTGGGGCTCTCACCGTTCTCTGGATGGTGTCCACGGCCTCGCTGTGTGGATCTGCAGTTGCATTGTAGTCCTTCAAGGCCAGTTCCAGGTTGCTCTCAAAGCTGGTCTTTATCTGTAGGACAGAGGTGTCAGGGCCCTGCTGTCCCTGCTGCCCCACAGTGCTGCCCCTGCTGTCCCTGCTGCCCTGCCCTGCTGTCCCTGCTGTCCCTGCTGTCCCTCCTGCCCTGTCCTGCTGTCCCTGCTGTCCCTCCCATCCCACGTTAGTCACCCCCGATGGCAGCAGTGACTCCGGCCGTGGCCAGCAGCCATTTCCCAGCACGGGCAATTAGAGGCTGGATTAGAGGGCAGGCTGGGTGCACCGTGGCAGCAGGGATGCTGTGTGTAATAACAAGGAGCTGCACCGGGCCAGCGCCCTCCCAAGCAGGCACAGAAACCCTCGCAGGAGCTTTAATTACTGAAATCATTGCAGAAGATAGACCAAAGCCAGAAATTACGGTCCAGGGCTACTCTGCCTGTCCTGATGGAGGGACAAGGTGCTGTGCTGGACTGACCCCGCACCCAGGCTGCTCCTTCTGGGTCCTTACAGGGACCAAGCTGCTCGTTGCGCTGGTTTAACCCTATCTTTGCCAAGCTAAGCACCGCTCCCAGGCAGCCCCTCTGTCCCTCGGTGACACTGGGGCAAAAGCAGCATCAAACTCACTGTGCAGCACTGGGAGACGGCAGTGACCACCCACACTCACCTCGTGCCTGAAGACGAACCCCACGATGGCGGCCACCAGGACGATGAGGAAGATGAGGGACAGGAGCATGGCATACTGCGGGCAGAAAGGATGGGATGGGAGGGGATGGAGGGGATGGGGCAGGACAGGAGGGGATGGGACAGGAGGGGAGAGTGGAGGAGGGGAGGATGGGGCGGGATGGGATGGGATGGGATGGGATGGGGCGGGATGGGGCGGGATGGGATGGGATGGGATGGGATGGGATGGGGCGGGATGGGATGGGATGGGGCGGGATGGGATGGGATGGGATGGGATGGGATGGGATGGGACGGGATGGGACAGGAGGAGGACAGGATGGGGTAGGACAGGACGGGACGGGGCAGGGCAGGGATGGGACCAGGCAGGAATAGGACGGGGTGTTTGGGGATGGATCAGGACGGGTCGGGATGGATCAGGAGAGGAGGGGGCTCCATCCCGCCGTGTCCCAGGCCACCCACCAGCTTGAGCATCCAGGTGCTGCCGCGGCAGGTGGCGAAGCAGCCGAAGGTGCCCAGGAGGACGACGACGGTGCCAGCGCCCACCAGCACGAACGGGACATTGGTGGCTTTCTCGTCCAGCAGGGAGAAGTAGACGGCCAGGCTCACCCTACCCCAGATGCCCACGGCCAGCAGCACAATGCCCGACACCTGGCGGGGAGAAGGGAAAGCCGCGGTGGCTCGCGACTATCGCGACAGGGCGGCGCAGCCGCGGCGGGGGAAGGGGCGGGCGGGCGCTCACCCAGAAGACGAAGGTGTAGGTGAGCAGGACGCTCTTGAGGCAGGTGATCACCGGCTTGGTCTGCAGCCGCCGCGACGGGGACGCCATGGCCGACACGGGGCGGCTGCGGCACGGGCGGGCCGGGGCGGGGCCTCGCGACACGCCCGGACACGCCCCGGACACGCCCCGGACACGCCCCCGCACGGGCCCGGCCCGCCCCCAGCCGGAGGGAGCCGAGCGCTCACGGAAACGGCCGAGCGTACCGGCGGCGCCGTGCTCTGCGCCCCTCCGCCAGCAGAGGGCGCCCCGGCCACCACTGTCAGGGGCCACCTCGTGTCCTGCGACACCACTGTCCCCTGTCACCCCCTATCCACTGTCACCCCCTGTCCTGTGACATCCCCTATCCACTGTCACCCCCTGTCTGCTGTGACCCCCTGTCCTATTACACATCTGTCTTGTGACACCGCCTGTCCCGGGCCATCCTCTGTCCTGTGACACCCCCTTGCCTGGTGTCACCGCCCGCCTGTCCCTCCCCTGTCACAGCCTGTCCGGTATCATCTGCTGCCTAGCCCGTGCCACCCCGTAACTATCCCTGCTACCTCCTGTCCAGTGCCACTCCCTGCTTAGCCCGTGTCACCCTCTCTCCTGTGCCACCCACTGCCTCCCCCGTGTCACCGCCTGCCGGTGTCACCCCCTGCTTGCCTCATGCCACTTCCTACCTGCTTGGCGCCACCCGCTGCCACCTCCCGCCTGTCCCGTGCCACCCCGTGCCATCCCTTGCCCGACCCATGCCATCATTCCCTGCCTCCACGGTGCCACCCCCTGCCTGTGCCGTGCCTGTGCCACCTCCTGCGCGGTGCCAGCCAGCGCCAGTCCCTGCTCTCCTGCTGCAGCCCTGCCGTGTCCCACGCCGTGTCCAGGTGTCCAGCGGGACAGCCACCCCGCGCCCGGCACATGGCACCAACAGCGCCGGGCTCCGTGGGCTGAGCCCTGCCGGGGTGTCCCCGGCCGGCGGGGGCTGCGGGGGGCTGCGGGCTCCCCTCCCCGGCAGCAGCAGCCCCCCCCGGCTGCCCTCTCCTGCCCGGACAGTCATTAATTAGCGCGCTCCCTGCCTGGCCTCCACTAATTAATTAGCCCATTGAGAGAGCAGCGCGTCCCCCCTGGCACACCCCACGGAGAGCTCCTGCCTGTCCGTGCCAGTCCATCCCTCGCTTCTCCCTGCCCCGCGGTGCCCAGCCCCATGCCCGGCTCCTGCCCGACCCCAGCGGCCCCTGACAAAGCGCTGCGGTCCCTGTTCCTCGGGGCCCGGGCTGCGGCAGGGAACAGACCCCAGCTGGAAGCGCTTTTCTCGGAGCCTTCCGTCTGCAGCGGGGTCTCTCCTCCCTCCCTCACTCCTCCCCTCCCTCTCTCCGGCAGGAGGTGGGAAAGGGGACCCGGCTCCTGCGGTTTGCTGCTCGCCCCTGCAGGCCCCGCGTTCCCGGAGCCCGTCAGGGCTGGCACGGGCTCGGCTTGGCTCTCTCCTGTGTGCAAACAGGCTCCTGGCTCTTCTGCTCGCAGGAGAAAGCCTCTTACAACTTTTTAAAGCCCCGGAGAAGCAGGAGGCGCGTCGCAAAACGGGCGATCCCGGGATTTACTATTTTTTACAATCTCATCATTTTGGGCCTGACTCACGGCTTTTGAATGTTGGGGATGGGCAGCCAAGGGGGACAGTAAGTTTGCTCGGCAGAAGCGGAGCGGCCAGGCAGGAGGGCCAGACCTCTGTGCGGTGACAAGGCGGCCGAGGGGGCGTCCCCTGCCTCCAGCCCCGCTCCATCCCCGCCAGGGCCCGCGGCCGCTCCCGGCCCCGGCACGGCGCGGGGCAGCCCAGCGCGGCATGGCAGCCCCGGTGCTGCTGCTGGCCCTCGCCAGGCTGGTGGCATCCACGTGGCACGAAGGTGAGTGCGGGCACCGTGGGCACCGCGGGCTCCCGGGGGTGGCGGCGTGCGCGGCTCCGCTCCTGCTGAGGGCTGGGAAGGGGTGGAGGGAGCCCGGGAACGGCGGTGCCGGGGGAGCATCGGTGCCCGAGGAATGGGGAGGCTGTGCGGGTGAGCCGTGGGTACGGGCAGGAACCGAGGGGGTGCTGGCAGGCACCCAGGGAGGAGCAGAACGCCAGCCTGCCTTCCTCACAGCCCGCCCGCCGCTGCCTCCCGGCTCCCGCGGGGCCGCAGATGTGCGCTGGCCCGAGCCCACACTCCCGAACAACCCATGGCTGGGCGAGCAGCTCACGGGCCTTGTTTGGGGTGATTTCCCCTCCCTGCTCCCATCCCCTCCCTGGCCATGCTGCAGCACGCCTGGGGATGCTCCTGCGGGGCTGAGCTGGCCCCAGGTGAGAAGGAAAAGGCAGCGCTGGCAGAGGAAGGGAACATCGCCGTTAAATAGCACATCTGCTGCGGGGACACGCTGCACTCTGTCCCCAGGCCCCGGCCGGAGTCTTGGCAGCCTCCCCGCAAACAACTTCGCTCCCCAGGCCACGGATCCATCCCCACGGCGCCGTCCCTCCCCTCTGCTCCCCGAGGAACCACGGCAGCGTGCACGGGCAGCTGGATAAAGGCGCTGTGGAACGGGCGGGCTCGGGGGAGCCGCTCCACAGTCAAGTTCACTTTGGGAAGATCCGTCATGGAGTTTCCTGCCCGTGACGGGAGGGCTCCTGCTCGGGCTGCCCCCGGCGATATCCCCTTCCCAAAACGGGGCAGGGACGGGGGGACACGGTGCAGGCGCGGCGGGCCTGCGGCCTTTGGGGGTGCCCAGAACGAGCATCCCCGTGCCCAGGGCAGCGCCGGGCGGGCGGCGAGGAGGGGGCAGCGCCGGCGGGGGCCGGCGGAAAGGCGGCGGAAACGTGAGCTCAGTGCTGGGGAATGCCGCGGCCGGCCGAGGCGCCGAGGGGCCGCGGGCAAGGACGGCAGCCTGGCCCCTGCACGGCCCCCTCCCCACCGCGAGCACCGTGCCCGTGAGGGGACAGGGCGGCCCGCAAGGATGGCACGGGGCTGTCCTCAGGCCCCCTGCGCAGCACGGCTGGCCAGGGGCCCGCATCTCCGGCCCAGCCCCTCCAGCGGCTCCATCCTCCCCTAAAGCACGGGCACCCCCAGCAGCCCCCGGCCGGGCAGAGGGCTCGCCATCCCTTCCTGGGTGAGCGGACGGGCAGGAAGGACAGGAAAGGACAGGAAAGCGCAGGTAAAGGCAGGAAAGGGCAGGCAAGGGCAGATAAGGGCAAGAAGGAGCAGCTTCCTTCCCTCCCTGGGGATGCCCCGTGGCAGCGGCGGTGCCATGGGAGCGGTGGAGGGGTTCCCGGCAGCAGAAGCTGGGGGTCGGTGCCAGCCCGCTCCGCGCCAGCGCCCGTTTCCTGCCACAACCGCGGCTGCCGCTGTTTAGTCTGCGGCTGGTGCCAGCGCCCTCCGTGCCACCGGGAACTGCGCTCCCGTCTGCCCGCTTTAACCCTTGACAGCAGCCCCAAGGACAGGCTCTGCCCGGGGCTGGGATTGCTCCTTGGCAGCCGCGGGACGTTTTGCAGCCATGAGCTGCCCCGCAGCCTGCTCGTCTCTTCCTTCCCGCCAGGCTCCGGCTACTACCTGGAGAGCCACACCAACGAGGTGTACGCGGAGGAGCCCCCGCCTGAGCCCGCCCTGGATTACCGCCGAGGTAACCGCGCCCAGCCCATCCTCTGCGTCCTCGCGGGGACACCGAGGCACGGCGGATCGCTCCGTCAGCCGCCCGCTCTCCCGCAGTGCCCCAGTGGTGCGCCACGCTCAGCATCCACCGCGGAGAGGCCGCCTGCTACTCCCCGCGGGGCAGCTCGTACCGCAGCAGCCTGGGGACGCGCTGCGAGCTGAGCTGCGCCCGCGGCTACCGCCTGGTGGGCCCGAGCGCCGTGCGGTGCCTGCCCAGCCGCCACTGGTCGGGGATGGCCTACTGCCGACGTGAGTGTGTCCTGCCGGCATCCCCACGGCACCCGGCCCTGCGGCTCTGCCCGCCCGCACGGCCCGCAGCCGCTTCCCCGCCCTCTCTGCTCTCTCCATCCCAGAAATCCGGTGCCACGTGCTGCCCGCCGTGCTGCGGGGCTCCTACGTGTGCTCGGCGGGCGTGCAGATGGATTCCCGCTGCGACTACACCTGCCAGCCCGGCTACCAGCTGGAGGGCGACCGGAGCCGCGTCTGCATGGAGGATGGGCGCTGGAGCGGCAGCGAGCCAGTCTGTGTAGGTAAATCCTCACCCCGTGTAGGTGAATCCTCACCCCGCGTAGGTGAATCCTCACCCCGCGTAGGTGAATCCTCACCCTGTGTAGGTGAATTCACCCCCTGTGTAGGTGAATCCTCACCCTGTGTAGATAAATCCTCACCCCGTGTAGGTGAATCCTCACCCCATGTAGGTGAATCCTCACCCTGTGTAGATAAATCCTCACCCCGTGTCGGTGAATCCTCACCCTGTGTAGGTGAATCCTCACCCTGTGTAGGTGAATCCTCACCCCGTGTCGGTGAATTCACCCCCTGTGTAGGTGAATCCTCACCCCGTGTAGATGAATCCTCACCCCGTGTAGTGAATCCTCACCCTGTGTAGGTGAGTTTTCACCCCACGCTGCTGGGGCATGCAGGAGCTCATCACCCGTGCCTGGGGTGTCTGCAGGTGTCACCCCACAGCCAACCCGGACATTTCTGCACCTCCCTCCCTCGGGAGCCCTGTCCCTGTCCCCGCAGTGTCGTTAGCCCTGAAGCACGGGCACCAGCCCGGACTGGGGCACTCAGCGCTGGTTTTACAGCAGCTCCGGGTGGCTCCGAGGCTTTGGGGTGGTTCAACACCGCTGTCATGGCTCAACCAGGGCGCCCACAGGTTCCATGAATCCCTCTCTCCCTCTGACAGACCTGGAGCCTCCCAAGATCCGCTGCCCAGACTCCCGGGAGCGCATAGCAGAGCCGGGCAAGCTGACGGCCACCGTGTACTGGGACCCGCCCCGGGTCAGGGACTCTGCTGACGGTGTCATCAAGAGGTGAGGGCGGGCATGCTGCGGGCACTGCCAGCGGGGGCTGCAGGCTGTACCCGGGGTGCCGATGCACAAACCCGTCCGTTGGGTCAGGGTGACGCTGCGGGGCCCGGAGCCCGGCTCGGAGTTCCCGGCAGGAGAGCATGTGATCCGCTACACCGCCCACGACCAGGCTTACAACCGCGCCAGCTGCAAGTTCAGCATCCGCGTCCACGGTGAGAGCGCTGCCGGAGGCCCTCGGGGCTGCCCCGGCTGCAGCCTGCACCGGTGCCGCTGCAGGGCACCCCGCGCCCACCCTCAGGCACCTTCTCCCTCCGCAGTGAGGCGCTGCCCTGTCCTCAAGCCCCCGCAGAACGGGTACATCTCCTGCACCTCCGACGGCAACAACTACGGCGCCACCTGCGAGTACCTGTGCGACGGGGGCTTCGAGCGGCAGGGCACCTCCCTGCGGGTGTGCCAGTCCAGCCAGCAGTGGACGGGCTCCCAGCCCCTCTGCGCCCGTAAGTGTAGGGCAGGACTCGGGCAGAGCTTTGGGCGCTGCCCTGTGGGTCCGAGGGGTGACGGGGGGCACCGTGGCGCCTCCCCACGCGCTCGTGTCGTGCCCCAGCCATGCAGATCAACACGGACGTGAGCTCGGCCGCCAGCCTGCTGGATCAGTTCCACGAGAAGCGCCGCCTCTTGGTCATCTCGGCCCCCGACCCCTCGAACCGCTACTACAAGATGCAGATGTCCATGCTGCAGGTGAGCAGAGCCTCCTGCCGCCCCCCGGGCCAGCTGCACAGCCAGCGCCCCTCACTGCCCCCTCCGCAGCAAGCCGCCTGCGGGCTGGACCTGCGGCACGTCACCACCGTGGAGCTGCTGGGACAGCCCCCGCACGAGGTGGGGCGCATCCGGGAGCACCGGCTGTCCCTGGGCATCATCGAGGAGCTCAGGTAGGGCAGGCGGGGCCGTCCTGCACAGCCAGGTGGCTGTTCCAGGGGACGGGGAACGGGAATGCCTCTAGCGATGGCTAAGCACGAGGTGGCAGCTGGGCTCACGAACGGCCCCTTTGTGCTGCACCGGAGGGTTCGTGCAGCAGGGGAACCCCCGCCAGCCTGAATGCAGCGGCACCAGAGCTCCCCAGCGCTCCCAGCCCCCGGGGAGGGATGGGAGCCCCACTGCAGGAGGGCCTGAGCGTGGCTGCGAGGCGGGCAGGCTCAGCGCCCTGAGCAGCCACCCCTCGCACCTGCAGGCGCTACCTGCACCTCACACGCTCGCACTTCAACGCCGTGCTGCTGGACAAGGCGGGCACGGACCGCGAGCGCTACATCGCCCCGGTGAGCCCCGACGAGCTGTTCGTGTTCATCGACACGTACCTGCTGAGCGAGCGGGAGGCGGCGCGGCGGGCACAGAGCGGGGACCCCTGCGAGTGACCCGCCCTGGACACCGCCCTAGTGCTCTCCCAGTGCCCGCTGCAGAGCAGGAGCAGGGTGCCAGGGGGCTCGGGGCAGGGGAAGCCCTCCCTGGCTGCTCTGGCACACACAGGTGAGCAGGGGCTGCGTGCCAGCAGTGTCCCCCTGCCCGGGGCCAGAGCAGGGGCTGCGTGCCAGCAGTGTCCCCCTGCCCAGGCCAGGAGCTGTTTCCAGCTGGGCCATGGTTCAGCCCAACAGGACCCTCCAGGGAGACACTGGAGGTCCCTGCTCGAATCCAGGGCAGGGGGGAGCCAGGAGCATGGCAGGGCAGGCAGGGCAGGCCAGCCAGCAGCGCCACAGCCTCTAGCACAGCAGCTTCAGCCTCGCCACAGCTCACCCTGTGCACGACCTGGACACGATGCCCCCCACTCTGAAAGCCCTGATTAAAAGCCAATGGCCCCACGCTCAGCAGAGCCCAGAGCAGCCAGCCAGCGTGCAGCCCACCCTCAAGGGCTTGCCATCGCCCCTGGCACTCCCTCCCTCTGCCACCACCCACGGGGAACCCTTTCTGGGAACTGCTTTGGCAGTAGAATATGAAGTTGAAATAAATAGATTTGTATAAAAAGTCAGTGCTGGCACGTGTGTCGCTGAGAGGCCTGGGGAACAAATGTTTCCTGGAGACCACAATCCCCAAACCCCCCAGGCTGACCCCACACAGCTCCATCCACCCAGTGCTGCAGCTGGGGCTGGGCTGGGCATGGGGAACGGGGTGGAGAGGACAAGCAGAGAGCAGACTCTGGAACCAGGTGGTAGAAAAAAGAATGGGAAGAAATAAAAACACAATGACATTTAAAAGCATTTTGCCCGGGGCAGAAGAAGGGAGGGCTCACACGAACTGCAGTTCAGCCTGAAATCCAGTACAAGGCTCATGACAAGGGGAAAATGAAGCTTTAAACGAAGCTCGGCCGAGAAGACTTTCTGCCCAAGCCTGTTAGAGAAGGTCATGTTTATTAAAGTATAAGAAAAAAGCCCAACACCTGTTTGGCTGCCTTGGCAGGCTGTGCAGCGAGCGTGGCTCCCAACAGCGGTGCCAGCCCTGGTGCCACAGCCTAGGGCCCCAGCCTGGCCATGGTGGAGCGCAGCTGGAGCGTCCCCTCTGCCCAGGAGCCCGGGTACTGGCACATCTTCTGCCACAGGTTCAGCTCCTCGCCCGTGGAGTCCATCCAGTCCACAGCCTGCCCGTTGCTCATGCCTGGGGAAAAGGAGGGCAGAGGTGGCTGCTGGGGCAGCCTGGTGCCCGCAGCACAGCCCCCAGCGAGGCTGCTGCTGTGCCCGGGGTGTGCGGGCACAGTGAGGCTGCTGCTGTGCCCGGGGTGTGAGGGGTGCAGCTCTCACAGTGCCCACCCCCAGGCCGTGCCCAGGCTATGAGGGGTTCAGCTCTCACCAGTGCCCACCCCCAGGCCGTGCCCAGGCTATGAGGGGTTCAGCTCTCACAGTGCCCACCCCCAGGGCTGTGAGGGGTGCAGCTCTCACCAGTGCCCGCCCCCAGCCGCACTCCCCCCAGGAAGTCGTTGCTGGACAGCGGCTCCCGGTCCCAGACCGTCAGCTCCAGGCACAGGTGCTGCAGCTCCTCGGCCTTGATGCCGTTGTAGACAAAGGTGTGGTTGTAGTGAGGGTTCAGGGTCTTCTTCACCACGGGCGTCTTCCTCTTGGAGGCTTTGTTCTTGTGTGGCAGGAGGTAGCTGGGGAGCAGCCCTGGGTTAGCAGCACACGGGCACCTGCCTCCTGCTCTGAAACTGGGGCACCCCAGCACCGGCCTGGAGCCCCCTCCTGCCTGTCCTGGCACGGCTCAGCAAGAAGGACGGCACCCTGCCTCTCCAGCAGCTTTGGGAACACAGCCAGAGACAACAGTGCCCTCCTCGCCCCAGGACCCTCACTCACCCCTTGACAAAGCTGTCTGAGGTCCCTCCTGACTTGGCTGCTGTCAGGTTCTTGGCTTCTTTGATCCACACCTGGAGCTCACCACCTTCCCCTGTTTTGCCTAGGAAAAACCCAACACAGCAGAAATTAATCCAATTTCATTTCTAGCACTGCAAACTTCTGGAAAGTTCCTGCTGAGCACCCTTCATCCCAGAGGGAGGCGCAGAGCCTGGACTGGCATCTCCTCTTGCCTTCTCCTGTATTGCTGAGGGCAAAGGCAGACAAAATTGCTTCATGCAGGGCCCAGTGGCCCAGCCCCAGGGAAGTACTGAGATGGTTCAGGCAGCCTGAGGACAGCCAGAGCAGCTTTGCAGAGAAGGCTGCAGTGGCACCACCCAAAAACCCCATCCAGAGCCAGCCTGCACGGCCAGGAGCAGGCTCCACACTGATCCCAGAGCTTCAGCACTCACCTTTCCTGCCATTGCCAGCCCCAGGATGCTTGGCAGATGGGATGTACTTCATGGAGACAACCAGCTCCCCCTTGTACTGGTGGAGACCAGCAGCATCTGCCCCAATCTGCCAAGAGGTGAGAATTACCAACCCCTGCAGAGGAGCCATGGCACACACAGCGACAGCCTGGTGTGCAGCACCTCCCCAGGCTGGGACAAGGGACTTGGCCTCTCCTAGCTGTGGCTGAGCTGGCACAATTGCCTGCCAGCTCCCCCCAGCATGACCAGTGCAGCCCAGCTCCTCTGGGATCTTATTTTGGCCCAAGCACCTGACAAGGAGAGGGAAGCCAGGCTCACGGCAGAAGATTTTCCCTTTTTTACTACAACAGCACTGCTGTCTGCATCTGGGGTTTCTGTATCTCCAAACATTTGATTTGGCACAAGCCTTTGGCAATGCTCAGCTGAGGTCTCCACAGCCCTGTGCCCACCCCCAGCAGGAGCGGGCAGGGGGGCTGTGGGCAGCAGGGGCACACCTTGCCGTGCAGGGGCAGGAACTCCTCCAGGTGGCTCTGGAAGTTCCAGGCCCCCAGAGGCACCTCTGCCTCCCCCAGGAAGGTGTTGCGGCCGAAGCGGTCGTGGTGCCACACCGAGAACTGCAGCGTCCTCGCCAGCAGCAGGGACCTGCTAACCTCATACTGGGGAGAGAGAAAGAGAGAGAGAACCACTGGTGAGCAGGCAGGGCAGGGCAGGCCTGGCAAACTCCATCAGCTGCAGCCCATGAGCATGAGAGGAGACTGAGCAGCAATGGATGTGCACAGGAGCCTGCTCCTCTTTCCTTCCATGCCTGCCAGAACTCAGAGTCCCAGGGCAGAGGTGCAGGAAGGAGCCTGTGCTCTCCCAGCCCTTGCAGCCAGGACTCACAGCACCCAGCCATGCCGCCACCAGCAGAGCTCTGCCAGACCACAGAGCCTCAGGTGGTCAGAGCACAAGACCTCAGCAAACCTGGCTGTGGGAGCCTGAAAACCAAACCACAGCTCCCACTTCCTGCTGTGCAAGAGGGCCTCAGGGCTGCACTGCCAGACTCAGGGACAGGCAGACAGCAGGGACGGTGAAGGGCAGTGCCAAGGTGCTCTGCCCTGGGGCCCAGAGTTTATCTCTGCCCCTGCGGCCGCTGCCCTCCCTCCCTCCTGCCATTGTAACATGGCTCCAGGGCCAGGAAGCCCTTGGAAGGAAATACCCAGGGTAAGCAGGATGCCTCTGCTCTGGGAATGCCACAGGAGCCAGGGACACGTCCTGTGACACAGTCACACACACAGCACTGGGGGCTGGCAGCACAGCCAGGGCACAGCTGGGAGTGCGGGGATTCTGCAGCTCTCAGGGCGCAGTCTCTGGACACGGCTCCTCTGCAGAGACCCACTGCAGGGTGAGGAGCTCAGCCCTCCCCGTGCTGTTCCAGCAGCATCCCTGAGCAGCTGCAGCCCAGCCCCTCTCACCTTCAGCAGCTCGTTGTACAGGGGGTTGATGGTGTTGCGTTTGATGGTCGTCTTGCGCTTCCCTTGCCGGGATTTGTCGGGCAGCAGGTAGGTCTTCACATAGCTGAGGGGAGAACAGGCAGCACTTAACAAGCCCCCACAATTCATCGTCCCAGCTCCCCAGGGCAGCCCCAGACCTCCTGCCTCACCAGGACCCTCCCACTTAGAGCTCCCACCTCTGGTGGGCACCCACCACCCGGCCGGGCTCCCCCAGCGGCGGCAGCAGCCATCGCCCCCCTGCTCTCACGGGTTGGAGCGCCTCCTGCCCTCGTCCCCAAAGGCCAGCTGGCGACACTCCTTCACGTGGATGAACAAGGTCTGCGTCCTCTCCTCGTAGCTCAGGGAGAAGGAGATGCCCCCGGTGACGGCCACGCTGCCGAAGTCGCCGGCCTCGCTGTAAATGCTGACCATGCTGCCCAGCGTGCTCTGCAGGACAAGGCGGGGCTGGGCTGGCACAGCATCACCTGACAGGCCCTCCTCATCCCCAGCAAGGTTACTCCCTGTGCCTCCTCTGCACAGCCCCCCTCACCTCCCCGTGCCTGGGGATGGCCACACACAGCGGCCTGGAAGAGAGCTGAGTCTCTGCATTTCGATTCCCTTCCAGGGGAAGAAGCCCACACACGCAAGGCCCTTTCCCCTTCCCTCCTCGAGCTGCCTGCTCTGCGTCCCTCCCACCCAAGCCTTTGGCACTGCCTCTCTCCATCCCTCCTCCCAGAGCAGGGCAGAGCAGGGCCATGCCCCATGCCCACCGAGGAGGTGCCGCTGCGCATGCTGCCCCGGGCCACGCGCTGCCGGTGGATCTCCACCAGGTTATCGATGTCCTCCTCCTCCTCCTCCTGCAAGGACAGGGACGAGCCGCCAGCGAGGGGCACAGCCAGCTGACACCCGGCTCCTCCGGCTGGCAGCCATCCCGTGGCACTCAGGCTCTCACCAGCTCCGTGTTGAGGCCAGGCACTGACTTGCTCCTGTCCCCCAGAGAGCCACCTTCCCCCACCAGGTCCTCGGGGCGCAGGTCGATCACGGACTTGGTGTAGTCTGCATGAGAGGGGTGAACAGTGGCACAGAGCAGGGCTAGCAGAGCCCAGGGGCTGCCCCAGCCCCTCCCAGCTGCACTGGAAGC